TTCCTGCAAAACTCAACCTCCTGCATGTGTATATTTATTGTTCCAGCTAGCTTATAAATCTGTTAGAAAAATAAATTTGTCTCATCCTTTGCCATGTCCCTTAGTATTAAAGTCCTAGACTTATATAGTAGATATTCTACAAGAACACAGAAATAGGAAAGACGATCAGGGAAGCTAAGACAGAAAAGAAATTATGAAAAAGACAATTAAAAATGAAGAAATAATTTTTTAGGCATTTTCCATATAAATGAACCAACAAATCCTATATCTAATGAGAGCCTGTTTCCAAATATGGGAACAAAAATAAATACAAGCACTTTTTAAAAAATTTCTTTGAAGTTTCATGCTTGATTTTTAAAAAAAGATTTTATTTATTTATTTGTCAGAGAGGGAGGGAGAGAGAGAGAGACAGCACAAGCTGAGGGAGCAGCAGACAGGGGGCGGAGAAGCAGGCTCACCACTGAGCAGGGAGCCGGACATGGGGCTTGATCCCAGGACACCGGGATCACGTCCTGAGCTGAAGGCAGACGCTCAGCCGACTGAGCCCCTCAGGCGCCCCAATACGAGCACTTTTAAGTAAAAAAAAAAAAAAAAAGCAGGCGAGCAGGAAACAAAGAATGATATATGACATAAAGGCCGTAGGGATAATTAACATGGTTCAAATTACAGATCATACCACAGTTCATAAATATGAGATCAAATTTCGTTAGAATAGACAAAAATTAATTTTGTAGGCTTTGAGACATCACCTGAGCACTGAAAATGTTACAGTGCTTCCTCATGCTGTGACTTTCCCGATTAACAGGATTAATCCATTACCAGGGGAGTCAGTAATTCTAGAACTAGACCTGAAAAATTTCATTTTTGCCTTCTCTACATCCGTTCCCTTTCTTTGGATAATGTATCTCTATTTTTTAAGGAAACAACCCTTCTCCTGTGTTTAGTCTGTGTGGTTTCAGTGAAGCTTAGGACAATGAACTACTGGTTTTATACAGTGGATCAAGGCCTGGACAATCAGTCACTGTGACTCTGGTTCAGGGATGGGCGTCTGAACTTAAGAGAGTCAATCTTTACATATTTGCCAGAACCATTACAAAAGTATGTGTATCTTCCTGTGCTACTTAATGAGGAAAGCTTGACTGAAAATGAAGCCAACTGGAAAGACGAGAAAGGGAGACAGTAGTCTATAGGTGATTGAAGGCCTGGATCCAGCCATTCCTGAAGCTTGACCTCTTCTGTTACAAAAGGCATTTCCTCTGTTAGTTTAAGCTGCTTTGAGCAATATTTCCGGCATTTGCGTTCAAGAGTTTTAATACAAACTTAATGAATTAATTACATATGGTGTTTCCAGCATCAATTCCCATGCCAATACTGAAAAAAAATCTTAAGCTAGATCACTGAAAACAAGAAACAAGGCAATCACATGTATGTATTTATCAATTGTTGCAACTCTACTTTCTTTAATACGTATGGATCTCCCAAAACTGTCCCAAATCTTTTATGAACAGATTGGTATCTTTTTTTTTTTTAAGTAAACTCTACACCCAGCTCAAACTCATGACCCTAAGATCAAGAGTCAAATGCCCTACCAACTGAGGCTGCCAGGCGCCCTTCAGAATGTTATCTTTGTGTTGAGTTGTATCATTATCTTACATCCCGAAATGTCCTCACTGGTCTCCACTTGTCTGAATACTGTCAACAGTCATTCTTATAGGTGTCTATTTCTCTCATGGACTTTTCCAGGATGTCCTTCCATTCTTTTATTATTTTTTAAAGATTTTATTTATTTATTTGACAGAGAGAGACACAGTGAGAGAGGGAACACAAGCAGGGGGAGTGGGAGAGGGAGAAGCAGGCTTCCCACGGAGCAGGGAGCCTGATGTGGGGCTCGATCCCAGGACGCTGGGATCATGACCTGAGCCGAAGGCAGACGCTTAATGACTGAGCCACCCAGGTGCCCCAACTTTCCATTCTTTTATACCCAATTCCAACCCTAGACCATAAAATAGGTCTTACCTATCCATAAACATAGTTCTGGATCATTTTAGGCCAGTAGAAGCTTTTCACCATAATACATTCATTCCTAATTATGAATAAGGAGACTTGGGTTAGCAACAGACTAAAGTCCCTAATATGGAAAGTTCTGGGAAGACTATAGGATTAGGGACGATGCATTTAAATTTATTTAAATGATATAAGATGGCAATCTGGATGGGAGGATAGCCTAAGAAAGGTCTTTAGAGGTAAATTTGCTTCAATCAGAGTAGTAGACATAGAACATATTTTTGCAATTTGCTAAAAATATAATCTGCTTGTGAGTTTATGAGACTATAACTGAGTGATTAGCTCTGGATTCAGCTAGAAAGGGAAGACTAAATTAGAGGTAAGTGGAATAAAGGAAAGAACTCAGGATTTAGATTTATATCTATCTAGACTTTTTTTGATGTGTTGCATTTTCATTTTAATTCAAAGTATTTTCTAATTTTCTTTGTGATTTTTTTGAGTTAGGGGTTACTTAACTTAATCTGGGGACTTCCTACATTTTTCCTGGGGTTGATTTCTTTCCTTTTTTTTTTTCTTTCTAATTTAATTCCACTGTTGTCAGAAAACATACTTTGTATGATTTCAATCCTTATAAATCTGTTGAGACTAATTTTGTGGTCCAATATAGGACCTATCCTGGAGAATGTGCCATGCACACATAAAAATTATACATACTTAACAGTCTTTGGATAGTATTGCTAAATAAAAATTTTTTTAATTTTTTTAAAGTTTTTTATTATTTATTCATGAAAGACAGGCAGAAGGAGAAGCAGGCTCCCAAGGAGCAGGGAGCCCGATGTGGGACTCGATCCCAGGACTATGGGATCATGACCTGTGCCGAAGGCAGATGCTTAACCATCTGAGCCACCCAGGCACCCGCTAAATAAAAATTAAGCCAAGTAAATTTTAAAGATATAATTGATTTTATTATTCGATTTATGAATCTGGCAGCATCCCATCTAGCAGATAGAGGGGAGCTCCAAAGGGCTACAGAAAGGGAAAGGTTTTAAAAAGCAGGGCAAAGGGGCGCCTGGGTGGCTCAGTTGGTTAAGCGACTGCCTTCAGCTCAGGTCATGATCCTGGAGTCCGGGAATCGAGTCCCACATCGGGCTCCCTGCTCAGCGAGGAGCCTGCTTCTCCCTCTAACCCTCCCCCATCTCATGTACTCTCTCTCTCTCATTCTCGCTCTCTCAAATAATAAATAGATAAATAAATAAATCTTTAAAAAAAAAAAGGCAGGGCAAAGAAGTCATAAATAGAAAAAAGTATTATCTTAGGTGAGGTCACCCTCATTTGGGGACAAAGGAGTTTTAGTAGGTAGATTACCTCCTCTTCCTTTGGGGGATGAAAAGGGCCCTGTGACAGATGACTTCTTGGTGCTTACCCTTTAAGATTACATTTTTGGGAGGTTGAGACTGCTAATGTTAGGTTACATACTACTTCTGGGTTTACAGACTTGGGGCCTTCACCTAAGTGCCCCCATTTTGGGCCTGTGGTTTTCTCTTTAACAGTGTTCTCTAGATGTAAGTTACTTTGTGTCTTTTCAGTTCTGGCTAATTTTGTCTGTTTGCTTTTATCTTTAATATATCCTTTGCTTCCTTTTGGCTTACTTTGTTGGTTTTTCACTAGGTTTTTGAGACTTTAATTTGCTCCTTTTTTAGTGTTTATTGTTATAATTACTCCAAATTGTGATTTTCTGTTATTGCTGCTTTATTTCTCCCGTAAATGCTTATAGAGTGTTGTCTACACTTTTGTCTTTATTTCCCTACTTCATTAAAATATTTGTTGAATAGAAAGCTTTTTGAAAAAAAAAAAAGATTTTCAGGCAGAAAAGCCTTTTAAAATTATGGTATTTAGAGTTTTATTGCATTGTAATGAGAGAATTGTTTATTTTGGGCCGGCAGTTTGTTCTGTCTTGCTTCTTTCCATCCACTGCAGTGTCTCCTGTATGCAGTGCTGACTGTGTGGGTTAGTGCACAGGTGTTCCAGACTGTTGTGTAACTCTGTGACCTGCAGCTTTTGGCCTTACAAAGTGTCCTTCTCTTCTGTCTGTGCATCGGAACCCTGTCTTTTTTTAAAATATTTTATTTATTTATTTATTTATTTGACAGAGGGAGACACAGCGAGAGAGGGAACAGAGGCAGGGGGAGAGGGAGAAGCCGGCTTCCCCCCAGCAGGGAGCCTGATGAGGGTATTGATCCCAGGATTCTGGGATCATGACCCAAACTTAAGGCAGACGCCTAAGGACTGAGCCAGCCAGGCGCCCCCGGAACCCTGTCTTGTTTGACCTCAGGCCTCAGCATGTTGGTCCTTGCACTGAGGCTGGAGCACGGCGAGGCCCGAAAGAGAGGACCAGGGGTCGCCTGCAGCGCCCCGCCCTGCGGGGGGTCCGGTGAGGCTTGGCCCCTCTGCAAATCAGCTTTCTGCTGGAAGCTCGGCCAGTAAGAGGGAACCCCCTCGCAGAGGATTCTGGGAGATGTAGTTTTCTTCCGGCGCCGTCGCGTCCGGTGCATGACGTACTTCCGCTGCGCCGCACCCGCGCCTGTAGCGGGGTAGGCGCCTCTAGGGCTATTTCTGCCTCGGTGTTTGTGGACCCGAGCGGGCCCGGGGAGTTCTGAGTTCCTGTGGCTCCGGACCCGGCGGAGGCACAGATTTAGGCCCCTTCGAGCATCTTGTGCAGACCAGCAGCTTGGCCGGCTGAGCCCCCACGGTAGGTCTGGGGCGTGGTCGGAGCCAGCCTGGACTCGGGGTCTCCGGTTTCAGGGCCGCGTCACAGCGCAAACTCATCGCTCCGACTGCTTGTGCCCAGGCTCGGAGGCCGTGTCCCTGTGAGGGACTCAGCCCCGGACCCACCCTCTGTGGGGCGGGAGATCCCTCCTGGGTGGGCGCGGATGAGGCCAGCAGGGAGATCTCACGGTTCGCTTCTTTGCTCCGCAGCCTGCACGAAACAGCGCGGGATGGCCGGCAGGTTTCGGACAGCTTCGTGTTGGGTAAGTAGGGACTCTCTCGTCTTTAAAAGCCGACTGGGCACCGAGGACGGACACGTTCATCTCTTTATCGTCACAGCCAGGACCCGAACTCGCGCGTTCCCTCCCCCCGCTTTCTCCCCCTGATCTCCGGAAACGTCCCTTGTTTTCTGGCATTTTGTGTCCAGTGCCCTCTCCCTCGGAAGTTACACTTTATTGCCAGCTGCAACCCTGAACTCTGAGGGTAATGAGGGTCCTGTTAGGGAAGCAGGAAGGAGCAGTTTTGGAGCAGGGGAGGGCCAGTGGACCACCGGGACTGTGCGAGGGTTGATGGGGTCAGCGAGCGATCGCCGTTCTGCTGGCTTCTTGCACCGGGTGGCGATGCTTCCCCTCGGGAACACTGTTAGAAGGGGCGCCCAGGAGAAGAGTGTAGCTGTGTAGGTGTTGGCTGTGTGGTGCCTACGGTTGAATCTGCAGTTCAGGTGGCAACGCCTGGGAAATATCCAGATTAAAGACCTCTATGTTAGTGGAAGCTTAGGGTGTGAGGGAATAGAGCCCTGACAAGTGGAGGATGTGGCAAAGACAAGGAAGGACTGCGGTGCACAAGGGCTGGGGTGCAAGAGAGGTGTAAGTTGGAGAGTGGAGAGTAAGTTTCCCTGCAAATTTGAGGAAAGAGAACTTCATAAAAGCCGTGATATGAAATACCTCAGAGAATTATTTTACGAGACGAACAGTTGCCCCTGGATTTGGGAAGTTATGTCTTTTTTTTTTTTAAGATTTTATTTTTTTGAGAACGAGCGAGAGCGTGCACTAGCAGGAGCAGAGGGAAAGAAAGGGAGAAGCAGACTCCCCGCTGAGCAGGGAGTCCCACTCTCGGCTCCATCCCAGGACCCTGAGATCACGACCTGAGCCCAAGGCAGACGCTTAAGCGACCGAGCCACCCTGGCGCCTTGCTTATTTATAAGTCTTAAGCAATTTTTCCATACCTGAGAAAATGTTGAATAGTCACTTCCTGAGAGGTAATGGGGGGTGTTGCCAACTGGATTGCATAAGGTTGTGGACAGTGGAATGTAAAGAAATGATTAGTGACAGTAGTGACCTTTTTTAGGTGGTATGATGCCTCAGGTGTGACAAGAAGAGTATGGGTGCCAGGAACAAGGGAGTTCAGAGTGGCATGAGTCATACAATTAACCTTAAAATTAAGGATCTTTTTATTATTTTATTTTTTTAAGTAATCTCTATGCCCAATGTGGGGCTTGAACTTAAAACCCTGATATCAAGAGTGGCATGCTGTACCAACTGAGCCAGCCAGATGCCCCAGGATATTTTTATTCTTAAACAAAACCATATGGGGGGGCACCTGGGTGGCTCAGTCCTTAGGCATCTGCCTTTGGCTCAGGTCATGATCCCAGGGTCCTGGGATCGAGCCCCACATTGGGCTCCCTGCTCAGTGGGAAGCCTGCTTCTCCCTCTCCCATTCCCCCTGCTTGTGTTCCCTCTCTTGCTGTGTTTCTCTCTCTGTCAAATAAATAAATAAAATCTTAAAAAACAAAACAAAACCATATGGAAAATACAGTGAGAGAAAACATTGTATTTACAATAGCAATAAAGAAAAATAAAGAAAGCAAACAGAATCATACCTTATGAAGAGTAAGTAAGTAAACAAAGAAGACTAAAGGAAGACTTTAAAACTATTGAATAGTATCAGTAGGTACCATTCTTAGCTAGGCACTTCGTGTGTATGAAGTTGTTAAAGTCTCATGACCCTATGAGGCAGGTATGTCCCCACTTTATAGGTGAGGAAACGGAAGCCTGTCCATGGTCCCAAACTAGTATCCAAGGAGACTAGGGTTGCGGAGCTAGGATTCAAACAAAGCAGTATCTTCAGAGTTTGTGCTCATAATGCCTCTTACTTATTTTATTTTTTAAGATTTTATTTGACAGGGAGAGAGAACGAGCAGGGGGAGCAGCAGACAGAGGGAGAGGGAGAAGCAGGCTCCTCACTGAACAGAGAACCTACCCCTGGGCTTGGTCCTAGGACCCCGGGATCATGACCTGAGCTGAAGGCAGGCGCTAAACCGACTGAGCCACCCAGGCGCCCCTGTGCCTCTTACATTTTCATGTGAACAGTATTTCCTTATTCTTGGGTGCACATATTAATTTAACAAATGTTTATTGATGATTACACCAGGTAATTTTTCTAGGGCATGTTGGGATGAACAAGATTGACAGGGTCCATGACCCCATGCAGTGTATGGGAGATACCATACCTGGTATGTCTGGTCAGACATACCAGAGGAGAATCATAAACAAAGATGTGAGTGTTATGCCCGTGAAAGAGAGCGGCTGAGTGGCTACTTTAGATTGGCACCCCTTCTTGAGGCATCATTCACGTACGGTCTGAGTGACAACTTGACGATCATGGGATGATGGGGGTAGTGGGGGAGGAAGCATTCCAGACTTTTATTTCTAGGGTTGTATTCCAAGCAAGTGGCAACTGCCTCAAGTGGAAAGCAAGGCCATGGCTGGAGTGAAGAGGGATGGCGCGTCAGCCGGGGCCAGATTGGTAGGGCCCTTTGAGGGGGAAGATCATGCTGGAAACCCATAGGAGTTTTTAATTTTATTTCATCTTGGAAGAATTTTGGAACTGTAGAGAAATCACAAGAACAGTATAAAAAATTCCTGTACAGTGTTGTATCAAAAACCTCTTCATCCAGAATTGTCAACATTTTGCTGTATTCACTCTATTATTTTCTCTCTTTGTGTGTGCATGTGTTTGTGTGTACACGTGCATATACACACTCTAATTTTCCTCCCTTCTTTATTGTTCTAGTCCACACCACCTCACTCCGTAGCCCAGCTCTTGCCTACACATCTCATTTGCTCCTCAGTCCTCCCTCCCTCCCTCCCTCCCTCCCACCTTTTCCTTCTCTTCTTTCTCTTTTCTTTCCCTTCCCTCTCATTTTTGTTGACACAAATGTTCCAGTGTAAAAGAGTGCTTCGCCCCTCCTGTTCTGCTCCCCAGAAAAGACTGCCATCCACAGTGTGTTACGTAACCTTCCCATTGTTTTTCTCTGCATTTTTTACATGTATGATCGTGTATACTGCTGTCTGTTCCACACTTTAGTATGGAAATGGCTTTATTGCTTTTCCTCTTTAATATAAAACCATTTTTAATTGCATCGTTTTAGAAAATGGGATTGTAAGTAACACAGCCAAAGCTCTTTGGTTATCATTTCCTTCCTCTAATGTCAAGACGTAGTCAGTAGCAGGTGCCTGTTCTCAGGGTCGTGAGTCAGGCCCTACATTGGCGTGGAGCCTACTTAAAGTAAAAAAACCCAAAAGTTTAAAAAAGAGGTAGTCAGTAGCTTGGGGGGTTTCCATCCAGACCCTTCCTACAGGAAACAAGGTTTTATGTTCTCTTCTATAAATTGTGCAGTTTGCCATTTGCTTTACATTTATTTTAGAATTCTTCATGGCAATACATATAGGTCAGCGTTTCCTTTTATAATAGCTCCATTTCATTATCCTGCAGTACGATTGGGCCGCATTTTATTGAGCTGTTTCTCCACTGATGGGGATTTAAGTCTGTGGACTCACCTCCTCATGCCCACAGCTGGTAACCACTAGGGCTTCTTACTTCCTGCTCTCAGGGCTCTCAGCTTTTGATCTGCTGAAATTTTGTATTCCTTGAGACACTAAATTTTTTAAAAGAACTGATTAAAATTACTTATGAATTTTATAGGTGATTGGGTGGAATTTTAGGTGTGCTTGATTCAACATTTGAAAAGTTTGTTTGTTTGTTTATTTATTTATTTATTTATTTATGTATTCATTCATTTGTCAGAGAGGGAGTGAGCACAAGCTGGGGGAATGGCAGGGAGAGGGAGAAGCAGGCTCCCAGCCAATCGAGGAGCCTGATGTGGGGCTCGATCCCAGGACTCTGGGATCATGACCTGAGCTGAAGGCAGACCCTTCACCGACTGAGCCACCCAGGCGTCCGGAAAAGTTTTGTTTTTATATGAGTTGCATCATACTGTGTATAATTATTCTACAATTTGAAAAATGTCTCTATAGGATGAATGTACAATATTTTTTAGCTGTTCTCTTATGGGTGGAAATTTAGGTTGTTGAGCTTGTCACTGTTACAAACTTTGAAACCATGAACAACTCTGCACATGTATGGATATTCCTATTTCGTTAATTTTTGGTTACATATTTGGTACTTTTCTACATTCTCTTAGAACACAGTTCAGTCTTATAATTACCCACCTGTCCTAATCCCTTTTCTCTCTTCAGAGATAATCAATTTGGTGTATATTCTTCTAGATCTTTCTACATATGTTTGTCTACAGCCGTTTATATCCTTAAAATGTTTGGTTTATTTGTCTGGGTTATTACATAAGTGGGTTTCACACTATGTAACATTATTTCTGTTTTTACCCCCATGCAAAAAATGTATTTGTAGTTGTATCTGTGATGTTTTTATACATATATATCCATTTGTGGCTTCTTTTGCCTTTTTAAAAATTTAATTGAGTTCTAACTTATAGTAAAATGCATAAACCTTAAGTGGAATATTTATATTCTTTTAGGTTCCTGGACCAATTCCAGTAAGAGGGGTGGGGGTGCAGTTCCCCTACACACAGCATCACACAGTTCTTGGACACCAGCAGGTGGTCTGAGAATTCAGCTTCAGTCTGTCACTGTCTACCCAGAGATGGGGGACAGTCTCCTGGAAACCAGCTGCCCTTTGGTAGGTTACCTAGGGGCTTTCCAGAAGTTGCCTCATTAACATAACAAAAGATACCTTGATCATACTTACCAGAGGAAATTCCAAGGGTTTTAGGGGCTTTGAGCCAGGAACCCATGGATGAAGACCAAACACATATGAGAAATATGTTTTGGACATCTGAATGACCAAATATTCTTAAAAATCACAAAATTAAAGTATACACTGAAGACAAATGAAAATCAAGAATTCCAGCACCCTGGCAGGTTCCGTTGTTCTCCCTATCACCACT